AAAAAGCTTTCCATAGCAGAATTTGGCAAGCTGCTGCTCACCAAACCTGCTTCCCCTTGCTGAGCTCATAGGTACAACATATTTCCCAGCCCTCTCTGTGCCTCAGTGGGGCCACGTGACTAGCCGTGGCCAGTGGAATGCAGGCAGGAGTGCTATAGGCCACTTCTAGGCCTGTCCCCTAAAACATTCGGTACAACTGTCCTCATGCGCTCTCTTCACTGGCCAGCTGAATAAGGAGAATTCAGTGGAGGAATCTGAGGCTCTCAAAGATAGTGGATTCAAGGGCAGGAAGACGCCTGGTCCTCGAATGACCATATGGATCAATGTCCTGTCCCTCACCCCCCCACACTGCTGACTGTGGAATAAACCTGTGTTGTGGGTTAAGCTATGGAGAACTAGCTGTTACAGTAGCTAGTGTGACTTGTCCTGGTGGTACAGATATTAAGGGCATTATATAAGTAATCACTTGACCAAGAAAGGACCACGTTAGGCAGCACTTAGTTATCTGATATATGTCCCACTCTTCAGAGAAACCTAATTTGCTTTTCCTCAACTGGAAGTTCAACCTCACTAGACTTTTGGGAAAATTACAGTGAGCTGCCAAGGGTGAGATAGAAGGAGGTGGGAAGAAGCTATTAAGACACTTCTTCAAATCAAACTGTCTTCTCTCTTAAAAAATTATACTGATTAGACACATGGGCAGTAGCCGGGGTATCTTTTTGCAGAGCAACTTGCAGGGAACCCTAACCAAACCCAGTTTGGAGATACCGAAAACTTACGGAGGCCACTGTGGTCGTCAACGTGCAGGGCACTTTTGTGCTTAATGTAGATAACGTGACAGCTACATTGTCTACGCTGTAGCTTGTGTTTCTCAATTTGGGGTTTTTATGAGTAGAAAATAATTTCTGAGCGTACTGAATACAATCCACTCTTAAGGGGGAGTTTTCCCCTTTTTCACTTGGCTCAGGAAAGTCAGACGAGCATCAGCTATACCACACTGTCAGGTCCTGCTACCACTGCCCAAATGGAGTGAAAGTAGTCACATTATACAGCAATAAACAAACATAAAATTGCAGTGAAACATTACCTGGCCAGCTAGCATTTCGTATAACAGGACGCCATACGCCCACCAGTCCACGGATTTCCCATACGGCTGATAAGCGATTATCTGTGTGAAAACAAACACATCAACTGCATTTAGTGGTCTATCAAACAGCCCCTGTTAAAACAGGTACATTAAGCAGGTAGGCATTCAGACACTCGGTCTATGCAAATAAGGTAACAGTGATAGTCATCTCTGATTCCTGCACCAAGGGAAGAGGGTCTTTCTAATGAGACACACCCAGAAATATCACCCCATGATCTACTGCCCCAAACCTGTTTTGGAACTCTTCTTCTGAATCCACCTGGAGACACAACAGCACTGTCTGATTTATTTTAAATATTTGAATAGAAAGCCTAGTGGGGATAGATGAAACGAGTTAGCAAAATGTAGGCAGCTGTTGAAGGTGGGTGATGGGGGCACAAGGACATCATTCTACTCTTTTCCCTACCTTTATGTCTATCAGTAGTACTAGAAAAACACCATAACCTCCTCATGGGGAAAGGAGTATTAATGGCTGGAATTTATAAGTGTGGCATGGCTTATGAAAACACTGGCCTCATGACCTCCGGGGTAGGCTGTGTACCTAGTGCATAGAATTCCCACTGATCATGCCCTAGGATTCGAGGTGAAGACATACTAACAGATACCACAACCATTCTGCCATTTTACATGCGAATTTGACTTTGAAATGTTCTAGGATATTTTTTGTTAATGGTCTAGTATGTGTAATTAGATGTCCCAGGACATAAGAAAACTTTCTGCATGTTAGCCTATTTCCATTCCCTTAAAGTATTACTAATACCTCTCCACGAAGAATACAAACTGCAAGCTCCTATCATTTGCCTAAGTGTGGGTGGCAACAAGGGGGTACACATTCGGATTTGGCAGCTTTGTAGTACATTTACTTGACAAGAAAATGATAACCATAGGAACTTACAAAGAATCTTTAATTTATTTTTAAAACTACATTTGTTCTTTACTGCATGTTCTTTTCTGAAAATTTGGAAACACACACACATACAATCGCAAAAAAAACCCAGAGTAAGTCTCCTATCTATTACCCAGAGATGAATGATGTTAATACTTTGATATATGTCACTCCAGTTTCCAGACCGGCAATGATTGGGTCAAATGAGCCTCATATTTTTATAACCTTTGATACAATGGCAAATTGCCCTCCAAAAGGTTTTTGACTAATTGACACCCCTATCTTATACCAGTTTCATTATATTTTCCATCACTAGATAAATAATTATACATGTATATATTTAACTCCACAAGTCACGCAAGCTTACTGAAGAAAAATTAGAAGGAAAAAACAAAAAGCTAAACAAATAAGAAGTTAAATTGCCTAGATTCTCACCACCCAGAAATATTAATAATCTTATTTTGATGTGAAACCTTTCAAACTTTTTTCTAGGTGTTGTATGTGTACATGCACATCTAAAGAAAAATAGCATCACACCAACCTGCTATCCTATAATCTGCTTTTAAAAATTTAAAAACATATCATGAGCATATCTGAAAAATACATGTAATTATTTCCTCAGGATGTATTTCTAAAAATAGAAATGCTGGGTCAAAATAAATGTTTTTGACTCAAAAAACATAGAGTCGTCTACTACCAAGGAAGCCTCGCCTGAGCCCACAGGTGAAGTTCTTTGTCCTGCGTTACCTTCCTACAGGATTGCGTCTTCTCCTTTACAGCAGTTACCAGAATCGCAATTAAATCATTCTTTGTTTAACAGCTAGTTCTAGGTAGATTAAAAGTTTTTTGAATGTATGGTCTGTGCTCATCCCTGTACCCTGAGTACCTAGGGGTTCCAGATACCATTACTATTTATTAGGCACCAGGCATCAGGAGGAGTCCCTGGGTGCTGCAACAGTTAAAGTGAAAGGTTGGAGGTTCGAGTCTACTCAGAAGTGCCTGGTGATCTACTTCTGAAAAATCAGCCACTGAAAACCCTATAGAGCAACATTTCTACTCTGACACATGTGGGGGCATCATGTGTCAGAATCGACTCGACAGCAACTGTTTTTCAGCATCAGGAGAAATGTTTAACAGACTTTGTCTCCTTAGCTTTTCCAATAACCCTATGAGGTAGGCAGTACAATTATTTTATAGAAGAAGAAACTGAGGTTAAGAAAGGTTAAGGAATCTGCCCAGGGGTTGCCCAGTTAGTAAGTAGCAGAGCAAGAGTTTGAATTGAGGATTTCCTGCTCTGGAATCTGTACTAGATGATGCTATGAGAGCTCAGCTGGAACTGCCAAAAGCATGGTGGGAACACACTCCCTGACATGTGGAAGCCAGACGTAC